TCGATAACAATACTAGTCCAACCCGATTTACTATTGCTCCTTTCGACAAACCCGTTAATAAACACCTATACACTGATCCAGATACATACTACCCTAGGAAATATGTTTTTAACTGGATTAATGGTGAAAACCAAAGACTAATTAGAAACTCTAGTCAGTCTTCTTTCCACACCCATGCCACAGCACAATTTGCCCAACATCTTCTTAATAGAAACTACCCCTCACATGTAATCAACAATCAACTCAGATTACACTCATACGATGAACGGAATACTCTTTTGTACCCGGCACCCTCGTCTCAGAAAAATGATACTATTATCAAAAAAATGTTCCTCCATAACATCCCTGGACGTGACAAACTTGAACAGTTTGGACGTATGATTCTACGAGATATCCATACCCTCAAACCTGCCCGTTATGAGAATACACAAACCACATGGATAATTTATAAAGGCTCCAACCTGCGCAACCAGTTGAACACCTATAATAAAAAGATTCTCCAATCCGCCCCAATAAGGAGTCGATTGTAGATGACTAGTTCAATGAGATCTCTTCTGTATCTTATATTATAACTAGCCCTCATCCCCGACAAAATAGGTCCGGTTTTTTAGACTTAGTAAGTTTTCTTTAGATTTTTTAGGAGTTTTCTCAGGTTCATGGTATAGGCCAGAGCTGACCCTCCTTGACCCTAACCCTAAAAATAACCCTAAAAGAAAACCCTAAAAATAACCCTAAAAAAACCCTAAAATAGAACCCTAAAAATAGACCCTAAAAATAGATACCTAAAAATAAATTTTGTCACGTGACCCTAGTTAAGGAGTAGAAAGCCACAAATAACTGGTTTGCTGGCTCCAAATAAACCTGTTTGCTAGGTCGACGCGTACCACGGAAATGATACATATATCCTAGGATTTTTTCGGACTTAGACCTTCCTTTTTTAGTCTAACCGTTCGGATAAATTATTTGTAATCTATACTTAGATTAATTTTAGATCTTACGTCATAACTGACTCAATCTGAAACAATCTAGGAGTTTCCGGATGAGACCCGATTTGGATAATGATTCCTTTTTGGGTTACCGTTCACCCTCTCTCCCGAGAGTCCGAGAGGCGTGAAAAAAGTATAAAAAGAAGACAAGGCTGAAGAGAAAAGATCGAAACAAGCACTTGTCCCGCAGTCTTCTTTCTCACTCTCAGTCACTTTTTCCACTTTTTCACAAAAAAACCCATCCTACTTATCAAAACCCTAAAAATAACCCTAAAAGAAAACCCTAAAAATAACCCTAAAAAAACCCTAAAATAGAACCCTAAAAATAGACCCTAAAAATAGATACCTAAAAATAAATTTTGTCACGTGACCCTAGTTAAGGAGTAGAAAGCCACAAATAACTGGTTTGCTGGCTCCAAATAAACCTGTTTGCTAGGTCGACGCGTACCACGGAAATGATACATATATCCTAGGATTTTTTCGGACTTAGACCTTCCTTTTTTAGTCTAACCGTTCGGATAAATTATTTGTAATCTATACTTAGATTAATTTTAGATCTTACGTCATAACTGACTCAATCTGAAACAATCTAGGAGTTTCCGGATGAGACCCGATTTGGATAATGATTCCTTTTTGGGTTACCGTTCACCCTCTCTCCCGAGAGTCCGAGAGGCGTGAAAAAAGTATAAAAAGAAGACAAGGCTGAAGAGAAAAGATCGAAACAAGCACTTGTCCCGCAGTCTTCTTTCTCACTCTCAGTCACTTTTTCCACTTTTTCACAAAAAAACCCATCCTACTTATCAAAAACCCTCAAGTTCCTCTCAAGATGGTCAATACTCACGCTGCCCCCGGCCCCTCCTCATCGTCAAGCTCTGCCCGTGGAAACCAGGATGTCTTCCAAGTCACCCCAGGTCAACAAGTTCCAGGTCAGGCTATGATCGATGCCGATGCCGAGATGGGAGGAGGGACTGCACCGGCAGACCTTCCCACCCTCGAGCAGCTCGTCGCTCGTCTCAATAATCATATTGGGAATAGTGACACCTCTCTGAACCCTGGTTCCTATCTTCCCTCTTTCAAAAAGGGAACGATGACTGACAGGGTTGCCGCAGACATCTTAAGCAAATTTGTCAATAAGGCGGCCATTCTTTTGGATAAAATCCGAATGGCTCAGAAGATTCTGCGTGAAGTCAACGCTAAGACACAACTAGGCTATTGGGGACATCTTACTGTCAACAATAACCGTGTTACCCTGTCAAAGGACGTCCTTGCTACACTTAGCACTTCGTTTGACAATTTGTTAGTATCGGCCATTAAAGCTGACAAAGCAAATATCATCCAACAATGCCAAAGTGAACTCAATGACACCCTCCCCAGACAGCTAGCGGACACCCTTTCATCTGCCCTTGTGGCCGTTGAAAACAATTCTCATCTGAATAATCTGGGTAAAGACTTCACCTACAAGCTGATTCGTGCCACTGCTATTGAGTTTTCTGCTCAAGTGCAAGTATTACGAGCCACTGCAGAATTCCAGCAATTAAATCTTGGATTAAAGGTATTCAAGATAATTGTTTCCCTTTGGTTTGCTCCACGATTAAATATAATCTATTCTAAGATCAACTCTACTTTCCCTCTAGAATACCAAGAAGGACGCCTCGAAGAAGAAGCCAAGCAAACCCAAGCCATCACGTCGACAGAACGACACCAACAAATACAAAGGACCAAAAGGCCCATCGATGGCGAAGAAAGACAAGAAGAAAGGTGGTCCCCCAACGTCCTCCAAGAAAACCACCCATGTAAAGAAAGGAAAAGGCCCCGTGAAAAAAGCCCCATCCCCTCAGAAACAAAAAAAGTAGATTTACATGATTTTGTCGGAGTCAACAATATGTCTTCCGTACAATCCATCCCCCATGATATTCTTCAAGTCTTAAATAAAGGAGTCAATTTCAATATACATAAACCTCCCAACTATGTTGTTCTGAGCTCAGAACTAAAGAAATTGCGTAACCAACTTTGTAGGAATATTAATAAACTAGATATTAATCTAGCTAATGTTCTGTTCGATGCCTACAAACCTCAGTTAATTAATAATATAACTAAAATCAGAGAAAACAATCCTCACAAAAAACTCCTTTCCAAAATCAACAAGACCATTAACTTTATGCTTACCCATAAACTTATCATTGGCCCTGCTGATAAAAACTTAGGACTCACTATTATGGACCTAGACTGGTATACATCCCAGACTACGAAACTTCTAACAGATACTTCCTGTTATGTCCCGTGCCCTTCGTTCTCCATTGACAATATGATAAACTCACTCTTTTCTATAGTCAATCTTAGTCCTCTTAGAATTAAAAATAAATTACTCTCAGAAGCTAAACTAATAAGAGATAATGTTAGAACCAATCCTAACTTCTATACTGTCCCAGTTATGTATCTTTTACCTAAAATACATAAGTCACCACCCGGTGCTAGACCTATAGTCCCCTCTTTCCCTTGGATAACACACACTATTAGTCAGTTTGTCGATAGAAACCTGCGCCCTCTACTTAATGAGTTCCCTAGAGATCTTCCCGACACCCCCACACTAATACGTTATCTAGAAAATTTTGACTTTGATCCTTACTGCCATTACTCATTAGCAGCTTTCGACGTCATCAACATGTATGGTAACATCGACTTTGAAGAAGCCAGAAAAACCATACTACACTACTTCTGCAATCATTCTTACAATTATGAAATCCAAATATGTCTGAAACTCGCAGAATGGGTTAATAAGAACTGCCTTGTCTCTGACCTTACAAATAATTACAGACAAGTCAAAGGCTTAGCTATGGGAACTCCCATGGCACCCACCATAGCCCGCCTCTTTGCATGCTGCGTAGAGAAACAACACAATTCCATGGAGTTTTCCTGACAACCTTCCAGTTGACACTAATTCCCCAATGTTTTTCTATAAACTCGATTTCTTTGACATCACCCTGTTCCGGTATATAGATGATGGCTTTGCCATAATCAGAACTACCAAACATGATAACCTTCCCTGGTCTAAAGAGACATTCAATCTTTTGAAACCATACATTGACATTAAACTTCATCAGATTTATGCCTCTTGTCAAAGTCTTAATATCATCACTCGACCATGGTAACAATGGTCAACAAGTAGTTATGCTCGACCTTCTTATTTCTGT